CTAATCCTTACATTAGGACCTATTTGTGAGTACTGACTTGGTACCCAGAGCACCCAGAGACAGTGTAAGTTTTGAGTTGTGAGGTTTCCACATTGCGATTGTTAGCTGATGGTGAAGTTGTTAGAGCAGGTCAGTTTTACCTGGAGCTCTCTGCGTCTGCAGCAGGCTGTCCCGTCTCCCTGAAACGCTCTGCTATGAGAGGCAAAGACAGCTGGCGAGGGCAGGGAAACGGGTGGAGATGAGGCTGCTTCAGAGCGCTTGGAGATCCATGTGAACTTCTAGTTGGGCGGGCATAGATGGGTGGAGAAATTTTTGCAAACAGAGACTCGTGTTCTGTGATCAGCTCTAACATTAACACCTGGACCAGCGCTGCACCTAGAGCACAGACAGATATTCTCATTAGACCTCGCTGCTTGTGTTCACAACCTTAGAAAATTCACTGCAGTCAGACCAATCAGATGACCACTATTATATCAGGCTAGTCGGGTGTGTATGCTGCTCACTGTGTTCTAATATTAACTTAAGAAAGAAAGAAGCACTGGCTGCAGCACATGGAGCATAATAGCATCACAGCTAAGCAAACAGGGAGTCATGCAGCTGACTAATTTGTGAATTACACTTCTAAACGATGACATCATCATTTAAACCTTGGCATACCGTACATATTAAGATTAATGTTAAGATTCTTTATTTGTGATTGTAGAAAGATTCAACAACATTTATTTTGGTGACTATCAACCAACGGCAACTGATAAAAGTGGCTCACATACACACAAAAATACTAGTAATTAAAAGAGCTATCAAAAGTATCGATCAAAATAGCTATGTATCAATGAGAGGAATACATAAAAATACACACAATACAATATATATAGATATTTATAAAGATATTTATTAAAGCTACTCCACAGTGTATATTCTGGCTTTTTGGTGTTTTGAAAGTGACTTGTCAGCAGTGTTGGTCAAGTTACTTGAAAAAAGTAATAAGTAATTAATTACTGATTACTTCCCCAAAAAAGTAATCCCATTACTTTACTGATTACTTATTTTCAAAAGTAATTAATTACTTAGTTACTTTTTAAAAACACGATTTACAACCTGAAGAGGTGATAAAGCGATAGATCTTTCGGCCCAATTCTACTTTTTCTACATAATCCATCATACAAAATGTAATCAAATGGAAAAGTCTCCTTTTTTAAAACTTGTTTTATTAGTTTTAATCTTTTAACTTTATGCATCAAGCAAAAATTTAATTATATGCAACATTCTCTGACTGGAAGAAATTTGTTTAATATGTAAATCTATTTTCTGCCCAATCCAGCACATAAAGTAAAATATTTTTTGTGTTTACACTCAGTCTTTCAAATAGATGCAAGTAAAACACAGCAGAAAATAAATACAATCAAAGACTCGCGGTCCTGTTGCTCTATTTTCACCTGTAAAGCAGGAGTGGGGTAGGCGGAGGTTTACCCTGGTGCAGGTGTGCCGCAGCAATCAGTGGACGAATCCGCGAGTTTCTCTGTGAGTTTCCGATTACGTCGTAGCGCACTCGGTGCTTGCTTGGAAGTTTAGGGGGGTTTTTCGCTGTAAAAAGAAGTTTTCTTCCCACGCACAACGGACACTAATGTTTTTGTCACTTTTTATGGAATCAAACTTAAAGTAAGGTCAGTACTTCCACGCTTTAAACGCTGCACTCGATATATTATCCATTGTTGATCTGCACACAGCTGTTGTCACGAACGTCGCACTTGCTTACGGTACGTCACTGTCATGAGACATTCTTGCAAAAAAAAAAAAATCGCGGTTTTAGTAACGCAGTAACGCAGTGTTCCTACGGGAAAGTAGCGGTAATCTAATTACCGTTTTTGCAATAGTAATCCCTTACTTTACTCATTACTTGAAAAAAGTAACGCGTTACTGCCCATCTCTGCTTGTCAGTCACAAAGAAGACACACCCTAAAGCTTACCCTGCTTTATCATCCATTTAACTCTAAATATGGGACCATAACTTTTAAAAATGAGCTTCACGCTGTACTAAAGAATATCTGAAATAAGTGACTAGTGAGAAACTCATCTTCAGGTCAATCATCAAGGTCATACCCATGAGACGAGTAGTAGAGTCACTCCCTTGTGGCCAATAAAAATCATGACGGTTTATGGCATTTCTGCATTTACTCTCTTTTCAGACTTGGAGGCTGTGTCTGCCTTTAAAATAAAATCTACAGATGGCACAAGTGTTCATGTCCTGTTTACCTCCCACGATGCTTTGTGGGTCTTCAGCTTTGGCTCGGAGGATGTTTGGTCCAAACACGGTGGCCAAATTCTGGACACTCATCTTGTTGGTGCAGGAGTAACTGTGGACCTCAGTCAGAAACCTGCACAAACACACACACATTTCCAGTACCCATGACAAGACTAATCAAAAAAACACTCATTCGGTTTGACTATTATTCTTACTTTACTATTATTATTATTAAGGGGTGGTCTTACTGGCAGATAAAGTTGAGCAGGTTGAAGTTTGCAACTGGTAACTCATGAAGAAGAATTCTTAACTCCCTCAAACCCTAAAAGAAAAAGGAGAGCAATGCATCAAGGTGACATGTTAAACCACTGAAGGCTAAAATAAGAGTGCAGATTTCCAGAGGGGTGAAGCTGCTTTTAATCAAACAAACTGCTTGATGGTGCAGTGTGCAGTTACCAGTGTGCGGTCACTTGACAGCTTTTGGCCACAGAGCAGGAAGTCCTGGTAGTGGCTGTAAGGAACCAGCGGTTCAGGCAGCTGTCTGAGGTAGAGCTTCAACAGTGATGCCACCGTGTGGACGTCTGTGTTACTGCAGATAAAACGTTTTATCTTATTAAGAGAGCAGATCAGAAGAAAAGCAAAGGGAACATTCAGAGAGGAACTTTACCTATCGAAGGATGGCCTCTCTCCTGAATCGAAAGCCTCCTGCAGCTCTTTGACTAAACTGGCCCGTCCAGGCTGGCGAAACAAGCCCACTTCATGCAGACCTCGCTCTCGAATGAAGGTCACGCATTGCTCCACCACCAGAGGAACCAAACGCACCCCATAACGCCGCTCATACAGCACCGTTTCCTCCAGGCGCTGACCAAAAACCCCTGCAAGAGGGAAAGATTTACTGAGTGCTCTCTCTTAAGAGTCTTCAAACCATAAACAATAATAAGACTTTACAGTGTTAGGGAAGACTTGTAGGTGACCTTGCACATCACATAGCTCTAGTCGCATAGAGTCAATTTGACAACATGAGCAAGAGGAGGCAGGGATGGATGCATGCATGAACTGTATCTGGGATGCTTACAGCGCCAAAGTGTTGTGTTTGTATAACAACACATCTCAATCCTTAATCTCAGATACCCTTCATATTATATCGAGCAAAACCAAACGAAAGCAGGATATTTTTAAGCTGTGTACCAGTGAAGAATGAGAAATAAAGCCAATGAATATATGTACCTGTGAAAGGGATCCAGACACCCTTGTTAAGGCTCTTCAGCCACTCGTCACCCTGACCGGCGCTGTTGGATAAAAAGAAATAGGAGCCTGGGCTGGCCAACACATCTCTGTTACCTACAAACACACAAATGGGGAGATGTTAAGGAGCTTACTCAGGTCATGTCTGGACTTGTTATAATAAATCCAGATATTATTACCTATCCTCATAGTACTTTTATAAAACATCAGATCATAATTTAAAACAACAACTTTATTGCACTTCTCTTATGCTGTTTAATGATTATCACTTGTATAAGCAGAATAATGGTGTGACCTTTGCATCTCAGTCACAGCGTTTACAGTTTCATTCACAGATGCTGCAGCCTCACTTTCACTTCCCTCCCTGCACGCATTTCTTCTTTTCACTCTTTTGCTCGTCTCTGAGATGTGGAAGTGGAAGGGTAGGTCA